GAATGGCTCCGAACAAAATTGAAATTTTGAATGATTCTAGAAATGCATTCGCAAATAAGAATGCAGGATGATTTCTAACAAGATCATCTAGCTGTCTGTTAGGTGGATATTTCATTTTCGAAACTATAACTGATGTCTAATATATAAAAGAAATAATATCATCGCAAGGTCTGTCACTTTCGTTTGTTCTACAAAACTATTGATCATCATCATTGCAGCAGATATGGATACAGAACTGATGTGTATCAAAAAAGAGATGGTGTCACAGGTTATCATCAACCAGCAAGAAGCTACTTGGTTTATACAAAGTACCGACCCAAGGTTACTGACGGAAGTAGGGATGTACCAACTCTTAATCCTCTTGGAACCAGTTTTTGTCCAATTCTGTTCAGAGTGGCTGAATAACTACTCCTATATTAGGTTAACGTAAAGTTTTCCACAGTAGATAGGCTATGAGATTTCTGGCACAATATCTGACCCCGGTTCAGTATCAGCAGCGTCACTTCGTTCAACTGCCCAAGTACGCGCATGGCATTTCATACATACAGAGTTACTGGTAATTCGATACATTCCTTTGGAGATGTGATAAGGGAGGTGGTGAGGAGTGAAATCACACCAACATGCATTTTCAGATATTCAAAATTTTCAGTTTTTCTCCGAAAATTAGACTTTAGGGGTTTAACAGTTAGTTTTCTGGAAATCTGCTGTACGATTTTTCATCTTTTCAACCAGAATACATGATCAACACTATGGTCTTATGTTTGAAAGAAAAAAAAAACAAATTCAACAGTTAGTATTCCAGAAATCTGCTGTACGTTTTTTAAACCTTTCAACCAAAATGCGTGATCAACACTATGGTCATAGGTTGAAAAGAAAAAAAATCAGAAATAATTCAAACCAAAGATGAATTGTAGATACAAAGTCATATTTTTGTTTGTGAATTGTGGATTCCAACACTTTCTAGTGGTTATTTATGGAAAAATTATCAAGCCACATTCGTCAAAAATTTTTCAAAACTTCCTTGAGGCAAATAGCTAACTGGGTGAAAATGGAACTGAAAGTGCTTGATACGGGTTTGTTATTTCAAACTAATAGTGAAAAACATACTTGGGAAATGCCTATCAGTGTTTATTTTTGGCGATTCAACATCAATTCGTTTTTTCATTTTCGTTTATTTTCTTGAGGCATCCAAATAGCATAACAAATTTTCATAACCTTCATTATTAGGCCGAAGAAGACTCCCGTTCAACAAGGGAAACTAGTTTTCAAAGAAAGTTTCCTGTATATGTGTGGATGGAACTCATTTACCGTTATTTACTATGACCGATCACACTCTTTTCTAGACAATTTCAACGGGAAAATGTATGTACATTTTCTACAACATGATCTACAGGAGCTTCTCATGAGGATTTTCCTCTCCCTTTCGCTATCCGAAGACGAATGATTTTCCAACAAAACGGTTGTCCAGCGCATCATCAGCTGATCGCCCGACACTTCCTGGATGAACGTTTGCCTTAACGTTGCATTGGAAGGTCAGGTTCAATGAGTTGGCCAGCGCAAAGCCGTGACCTAACCCCTCTTGATTATTATGTGTGGGGTTATATGAAAGCGCTAGTTTATCAAACCACAGTGAATACCCGGAAAGAGCTCATACAAACGGTAACCAACGCTGTTCTGCAGATACAGAATAATTTGACAAAATAACAAAGACGGAAATAAAAAGACGCTGCCGAGCAAGTATTCGAAATCAAGGCTCTCACTTTGAACATGATTTCTGAAAAGTAAATTGCAATAGATATTTTTCAAGTTTGTTTTTACTATTCATTTGAAATGACTGTAACCCGTATCAACCACTTTCATCAGGTTCATTTGTACCATTTGTTAGATAGCTATCGCCTTGAGGAGGATCCAACAATTATTTGACAAAGGTGAGTTGGATATTTTTCTATAATTAATTGCTAGAAAGTAATAAAATCCAAAATCCACAACTGAAACTACGACTTTTTATTTACAATTTATCTATGATCTAAATTATTCCTGATTTTTTTTATTTCAAACAAGACCCTAGTGGTGGTCATGTATTCTAGTTGAGAGGTTGAAAAAACGTACAGCAGATTTTCGGGAAACTAACTTTTGAACCTTCAAAGTCTACCATTTAGAGAAAAGTAGGAAGTTTTCAATATCTCACAAACTATTAATATTTGCATAATGCATATCAGGGTTAAATTCACTCATTACCATCTCCTCTATCACATCTCTAAAGGAATGTATCGAATTACCAGTAACCCTGTTATATGTTCGTTTACCGTTGGTCGTGACCTCATACACGCCCGTATATCCTCGGTATGATAATTAGGGCAGAAAGAAGCAGGAAAACCCGTGTAAGGTTTTTCTTTTTCGTTCTCGAGGGCGGTTATCGGGCAACGACAGTATTAGTTCCGTGTCGACGGTAGCGATATATTGGCGTCGGAGCTAAGTCATTCCATCCAGGTAGTGATAACGCTGGCAACGAGGAAGGAAGTATAGATGTTCGGGAAGTATTTATGTTCCGCACTGAAATTTAATTCGTAGCTCTGGTAGGATATGAGAGAGAATCGATAAACTGAAATAACGAAAAAATATTACGAAACAAGTTCGGGAAAAAATGGGGAAAAAATTACTTAGTCATGATAATAACTCCAATATTCAACAAATGTTAACAGGTTTCTTGAATGAGAGCCTTGTCCATTTCTCAAATTTTTTTGTATTTTTTCTTCTTGCCCTCATAAAAAAATATCAGATATTATGAATTCAATTGTGGTAAGAGCAAATAAAATGATTTGTTCGATGTCTTCAGTGAAAGAGTGGAAGTATATGTAAGCGTATGGATGAATACAACTCATCTTGTGGACGTTGTGGGGACTAGTCTGCTGCCGCTTTCAACATAAAAATGAAAAATAATGTTCATGATTTATATATCTAAAAAAAAATTTTTTCGAGTGTTTCTTAATAACAATTGATCTCGAAGTTGACCATTTTTATATTCAGAGAACCATTTCCGGCTTCAAGATAAGTGTAGGAGTATGTGAGCGTATTGATAAATATAACTCATCATTGGACGTTTTGGAAATAAATCTGCTGCCGCTTTCAACATCAAAATAAAAAAAAAAATTCAAGATTGTAATATCTGTTTTTATTTTTCGAGTGTTTCTAAATTGATTTCAACTTGACCATGTATATATTCAGTGAACAATTTCCAATTTCAAGATCAAAAGTGGGTTGACTAGCTTACCCGATGGGCCACTGATACAAGAGTCCATCCAACCATCTTGTATGGATGAAGAATAGACCGTCATTCATGTGAAAAACGTCGACAAAATCGAGAACGACAAAGAAAAACAGAAGTGAATTGTCAAATATAATGGATGTCACACAATGAATCCCCTGACATCACAAAATCAAATATCAACAAGAACCTTAGAGGATAAATACAAGCATAGCTCAGGTGACATCCTATGGATAAAATTATTTATTGCAAAAATGATGCCACCTGAATAAAGCAATCTATCTATCTATAACAATGCTTATCACTACAAGGAGAAGTAACATTGAAAAAATGTGATACCAAGAAATAAAGAATTCGTTAAGGACCAAGGGAAGAATGGACAACAGTAGGAAAAAATTAGGAATCTAGGAATGAAGAAAAATGTTAGCAGTCAAAATGTGTTCATCGAATGAAATAATATTTGAGTTTTCCACTCTCATTGGAGAACGGTATGGTCAGAATAGTTTTGAACATAAGAATAAACTTTTTATATAATTTTGGTTTTTGTTAATTGACACGTCACTGTATCTGATCATCATAATCTTATTGAAATCGGTTTTTTTCATCATAATCCTTTGTCTACTCTTAACTTGAATCGTCCGGATAGAAACTGAATATTGCTCGTCTATATGAACAATCCATAGCAAGAACGCGAATAAAATGATAAAATGATAAATTTCTCAATTCGAGGTTATTAAAACGCTTTTATGGCTTGGCGACTTGTACGGCACACACTAATAAAACGTGTCCCTGGGGATATGAAACGGAAAATGAAGCCGGTCGCCAGTGTATATAGAATTATAACAATAAAACCATACATCGTAGTATGCACAACAATAAAAAGAAATGAACGATACGAGAGGTTGTACATTCGAAGTTGTTAATTATCTACCCAGCCAAGTGCTGTAATCCATTTTTTATAGCGATAATGTTCAATCTCATTATTTGTTTATTGTAAACATCTGAACTGAATTTTTCAGGTCGTACCCACAGTTGTCATAGGAAATCTATAGTAAACTCTGAATGAATAAAACAAGTGTACTCCAACTATCCATTCCACTGGAAAGTCATATTCAATAGGAAATCAGTGTAGGGAATGTTATGTTATGTATATACTCGCCTCATATGACTACAATTATATATTATACTAGAAGGTTGAAACTGAAATGATATAGAAAACGTACTATTCTTCGAAAAACAGGCTGTACATAACCAAAGGAGCTGAAGAAAAGAAAGGTAAAATATGGCAGGAAGCGAAGAATTTCAGTGTCAGTAAATACCACTATAGAAATAGTCCTGCACGTGTGGTACTGTGCCACTGTGTACTAGTTTCCTCCATTACACCGATCAAGATCACTTGGGCGGCAACATGGTCTCAGGCATGGATATGTTTATGGGTCCGAGCAGTATTGAGATTATGAGAGTTCAAGCCAAAGAACTGTTGAGTCAGAACTCTCACAGACTCTCTACTCATTGGAGCAGAGTACTGATCAGGATGCCTTGAGAATCCCTACCTTTGATTGGTATACCATCAGAGAGTACATCATTATTTTCAACTGAGGGATGTATCAGACATTCGAGAAACACCAACCACGGCGATTTGCGGTTTATGTCTGGACTTTTCCAATCCCCTCCCCCCTTTTTCCCAGGGCGATCCGAAAGATTGGGGGCGGCTTTAGCGTATCGCCGCCGACAACTAATTCGTGCGGACGTACCAATTCCTCGAGTGATTCGACGTCTTCGGTAATCCTGGCCGTCTATTCTCGACGGATGATCTCTGGCTGATGGCGCCGATCGATGGAATCCACTTTGAAGGGTCCTCGATGGAGAAGAATGTCGACGACATCGGCATCACATATTCGGATTTGTTCGACTCCAATCTGGTCAAGTCGCTACTGGAGACACAGTCCGTTTAATGAAGAGAATAAGGCAGTGTTTCGCTCATTCTTTCATAAAACAAGAGTTGAGAAGCTTTGCCAGTCATTCATGTTGATGATTCTTCTGACTGTGACTAGTACACAACATTCCCTAATCGATGGAAAACTACTGTTCACAAACACTTACTGCTGCCCAAGATCACATCACATTCTCACATCTGACCAGAATGAACGTCCTAAGGCACGACATGGGACTTTGTCCCCGTTGTCCTGTATAAGCGTATCTACTTTACTATTCAAAAACACACAGCATGGACGCATAAAACAATTTGATAAATTATCCAGTATATGAATGAATGAAATGTTTATTCCTTCCATAGATACAAAATAATCTAATATGGAGATATCACCGATACGGTGACCTGAAGAATGCTTTGTCAGCATTTGCCTAATGCGCTGACTCGTCTCTGTCCCAGATCTTGAAACCAGTAGTAAGTACGAGGTATAATAACGGTATTTAACAATGAACGTCTGCTGATAAATGAACCCAAACTGAGCAATAAGTATCAGAATCAAACTTGCCCTAATTGTGGGAATCTAATACGACTTAGTACAGTGAAAAACTGATTTAGTAAAAAACGTTTATGTTACAGGTACTCACAATTCAGTAAATTGCGTGGAAAAGTGTGACGAACAATGCTGTAGGCATGTTACATGAAATATTAATGATACAACCGGGAAGAAGATGATTTGATATTGAAGTTTCCCACTTGCATGATCTTGGGAGTTTGTGTTCATATTATGAGTTTCAAATGAAGTGTTCTCATTGGTGATGAAAAATCAATTCAAATTCATTGGTCCCTCAGGAATGCCAGCATTCTTCGTTCGTATAACACCAGGATTAGAGATCAATTTCATGCACCATTTGCTAGACTAAGGCCCTCCGCACACGGGTCGATCGGCGACATGGGCGACGCGATTGCAATGACGTCACAATTTCTGCATTCGTACGATTCAAGAGACGGGAGTGTGTGTCATCCGCATATGGGTCGACGTTTTGTGTAGTCGACTCGCGTCTGATCAACGTAGTAACTCTATTTTTTGTTACTTCAAATAGAAATGTTTCGCTAAAAATGAGCATTTCCAATGGCGAGAAGGACATATTCATGTTTTTGTGGCACCGGCAGATCAGGAGAAGAAGAAGACAACGAAGTTTATGGGTGCATCCGTACATTGCACGAAATTTTCACACTCGACTTTTCGTTACTGCAAGTGAAATGCAAGATAGTGACACAAAATTTCTGGCATTTTATAGAATGTCGAAGGAATCATATATTGATTTAGTGGAAACTCTTGCTCCAGCCATAAATTATATGGATTCAAATATGAGGGAATGTGTCAGCGCAGAAGAACACATACTAATAACATTGATGTAAGATTCATATATTTCAGAAAATCAAACAGTTCCTAAAGCTGAGAGTATAAATTGGAAACATAAGATTATATGTTCTAGTTACTGAAAGTGGAGAACTAAGGTAGGTAATACAAATATTCACAATGATCGAAAAATTATTGAACAACTTTCTCCATTGAGACGCAAGATTCACGCGATCAAACTGCTTCCTTGCTAATCGCGTGAGACTGAAAACGAGGAGATCTTAAATCGTACGTTTCTAGACGACCACTAAACGACCCGTGTGCGGGATCCAGATGCTTTGCTTAGGAAGTCGAGTAGAGGGGAGACCGTCGTACGATTCGAATCGTGTCGCCCATGTCGCCGATCGACCCGTGTGCGGAGGGCCTAAGAGTAACCTTCACCTGAGCACTTCGGAAGAAGAATTTTCAATAAACTTCATGACCACATGAGGAATGCAGAGCATCTTGCTCCTTTCAAAAAGACGATAAACAGTTTTTTGGTGCAAAAATGTTTTTATTCGTTGACAGAATTTCTAGACTAGATATAGGTCTTGTTCTTTATCGTCTTTCCTACATTTTCTGTATTTTTTCTTCTTTTCGTATTCTGACAATTTCCTATACAATTTGTAATATTGTCTTAGTGGAAAAGTATTATTATTATTATATAGGTGGCCAGGTAGCCGTGCGGACAGAGTGTCCATATTCTAATCCGCATTCGCTTGCCGGTCGTGGGTTCGAGTCCCGTCGACTGCAGAAATTTTTCTGATGGCCCAAGAAAGTGTTTGGGATCACACGTTAAAAGGTAAGGCCCCCGTCATTCCTTGCTCGCACAAGACTCTCGAAGACTTTTGAGGGTTGCTCGTAAGGGGGCAACCGAATGACGGATAGAACAATTTTAGAACAAATATTATTATCATTAACCTATAAAAATAGAAATTGAGAGATATTATGGAAAGCAAATCTCGAAAATTTGGTGATACAAGGACACTTTTGAATGCAATGATTCGATATTGATTTCACAGAAATGAGAACAAAGTTTTTTCGACAATGACCATAATATCAACAGAAAAGATGAATATCGATGAAATGGCGGAACACAATCCCTATAGAAACTGGAATAATGAAAAATTAGAGCAAGGCCATTCGCTCTTGTTACACTTTTTTTCGCTACTGCAAAACAAGACGATGAAGGACGTTATAATAAAATTGGCTTAACTGGGCCAACCGAGCCATTTTTTCGAGAGCCCTTGATTACACCCCAAAGATGAAGGCACCCTCAACCAACAATGCTATGCCACTCATCTGGATGTACTACGGCATCAAAGGAGCATTTTACCAAGATGGAAAAATGAAGTAGGAAGGTCTCAGACTGGCAGTTTATTATCGTTATTCCTTTATGATCTTGTCAGATCGGGAAATTTTCGAAGGGGCATTTTCAAACATACGGATATCTTTTTTTCTGATGATTAACTATACTGAATTCACAAGGTAATTTCGGAGCTCAACCAGTAAAACAATTTTTCTACTAGGTTCACCTATTTGTATGTATCAAACACATTGGAAGATTCAAAGCTGCAACCTAGAAGACAAAAATGATTGATAATAATGTTTGAAATCTCATACCAGGATCCTTCTAATCTTCAACTATCTATTGGGATCTACAGAAGTTTTCCATACCTACAGAAAAATAAACAGTTTATAATGGAATTTTCAGTAGTAATTTTTCTTCGCCAGTGGCATACATATTTTAGCCAAATGAATTCAAAACCATGAATAAATTTCATATTGACAGTGAATAAATGACTAGGTCTGCATGAAATGTTGTACGTATTTCGTAACTTGCTTTTAAGGACCTAGGCGTGTTAATAGTACTAACTTACACGTTGTGGTTCATAAAACCATACTTTACGCCCTTCATACATAAATAACTGTTATGTAGGTTTAGTCTTTCCAAAAACAAAATCCTCTTCATCTCTAGTCAGGTTCGGTTATGAAAAAATAGAAGATGCAATTGTCCATATTGACAAATATTCAATGGGCTACTGGACTATTTTTTTTTTCATTAGAATCATCACTCAATTACATTTCAATTCCATATTTTTTAGATTTTTTCGGTCGTTTTCAAGGTGCTAGAATCATCAATATATTCCCACAGTGATTTTCGAACGGCTAGAAATGAACCGCAAACCATAGCACTGATGCCATAAGAATATGTTGAAATACGAATGGGAACTTCAGAAATATTATTTTTCTCCAAATTACATTAGAAGTGACTTATTAATGACACTTAATAGGCATAGGAAAAGGCCTACTTTATCTACCTAGACAGAAAAAGTAAAGCAAAAGGAGTTTGTAGCAATGCAACCTTTCAAGTAATAATTTGAATCGAATTGATAATCAAAATTGACAATTACTTTGGGTGAACACAAAAAGATGGATCATTTTAACAGCGTGAAATTTCTTATGATGAATTTGTTTTGAAAATAATTATATTAAGTCACACTAGAGGTAATTTGGTCCGATGAACGTGACAACACTGGACTGTGGGCGTTGTCTTGTTAGTTCTCAGCATTCAGCACAGCATTGCCAAATCTCATCAGCCAATATTTACATGATGTTTTGTTGTGGAGTACAAGAAGTATTTTAACAAGCTGGTTGCTCAAAAATAACTATAATCGGGTCGATTCTGTTCGAATCTTGTTATAACATTGCTAAGATAATGATATTGTTATGATCATAACATATAACAATATTGCTATGAAGTTCTGTATTCTGTTCGCAGAGTAACTGCAAGACTGGTTATAAGTTCAAGTGATAGCAATATTGTTGAAAAATTGAGAATTTTTGAGCTGACAACACTGTTTTCAACTCATTGTTTAAGTGTTAGGTATCGATTTTGCCATTATTTCATGAAGAAGAAGAGTTCATGATTATCTAACCTCTCAAATTAGTCAGTCCTGCGCTGACATTTTACAAAATTATATTGTTCAAATCGAGAGACTTTGTATTTGCTGAATCTGGTCGTCGTTGTGCGACTCGCAAGTAATCAATCATGTCCCCGAAATGAGAAAACAACTAAAAGCCGGATGGAAATAATCGTGATTTTTTTTAATATTCTAGCAAAATAGCTCGATAAACTATCCATCAGGCAACTGAAATTTCTCTGATATGCCGAAATTGTAGTCTCATATTTCCTCTACAAATTGGAACTTCAAGAAAAGGTTTTCAAGTAGTTGGTCACAGTAGTGAACCTATCCTATATGTTTGTAATCAAAATTTTATGTTTTTCAATAATTCTTCTACGAATTGAAACTTTGAGGAAAGGTTTTCAAGTAGTCTGTGACACAACTGAACTCTCATATGTTTTTAATCCACTATATTCTGAATTTTCATACAGTTGGAATGCAAAAACAAAGAATCCACTACCTTGTTATAAGATAGCAAGCACAAAATTGACGTTGCCGAGATAGCAAGAAAGCTGACCAGATGTCATTGAAATTGACAGATCATATTGCCAAAAATCGATGATCAGAATTCCACTTTTTCTAATCTTGCTGTGATAGCAATATCTTCTCTACAACCATATTGCTATTTGCAAACAG